TCTCTCTCTCTCTCTCTCTTTCTTTCTTTCTTTCTTTCTTTCTTTCTTTCTTTCTCTCTCAATCGTTTTTTTGAAGCAAATGAAGGATTCGAAATAAATAGCATTGAGCTAATTTCTGATTCTACCAATTGTTCAAAGCTGGAGGGCAAAACCCCCATACGAAAACCAATATATATTTTCTAAGGTGGGATATTTTTTTATTTCTAAGAGGCTTGTATGCACCTCTCGTTGTCTGAGAGATTCCGGTCAATTTCATTATTATTAATCATCTTTAATTTCCAATTTCAGTCTGGAATCCTGACTATAAAAATGAAATCATGCCAAACAAGTCGGTACTAATTAATACAAATGACTATTCACTTCGGTTTTTGAGTTAAAATAAACAAAAATCTTTTTTCCTCAGTCGAATTAAATTAGTACTTGAATGATACCAAACAAGCGAGCTCTAGTTGCCTAATTATTTCTGATCCCACTAACTTGAAGCCGTAATGAAACTGTATGAAAAATATAATCAATTTTGTCGCAATCGAAAGCTCTTAAGAGAATAAACACATATGGAAAGAATAGACGCATCATAGGAAGTCAGCAAGTACGTGTATTTCAGCTGCTCTCTTTCTCTTGTAGAACAAGTAGAGAAATTAATGAAATAACAAATGTTTTGGGATTGTACGTCGTTATACTCTTTGTTACCTTTAATTCTGGGCTCAGTTGTGAGAGAGGAAGAGTAAAGAATGTCTCAGGAAGGTGACTCAGTTAGACTTGAATAAAACAAGTACAATTGGTTAATTGTAAGCTGTTAATAGTGGTTGTAAGATGTTTGTGGGATGGTCTTGTGGGCAAAACAAACTTATTTTCGCACACCGGCTTACTCTAATGAAATAGTCAAGTGGGCTTGTATGTAACTGGAAAACAAAAGGAAAGTTCAATAGAATCAAAACGAAACTAAGATAATAAGACTACAAACAAGTTGAAAAGGAAACTAATGAAACGGAATGAGAAGATAATTCAGAGCTAAAGAACTCATTTTTTGATTATACGTGCCCAGAAAACAATGCAATGCGCAACATTACTTCTTCATAAAGATAGAAAAAAACAAAGATAATAAATTTCTGATTATATATACTCGATTATGACTTCTCAAGGTTATTCAAAAACTATTAAACGATTGAAATAGCAGGTACCTGATAGCTTGTGTATATATGTGCCAGCAATGGTGTAAGGAGAGCCGTCTGAAGACTTTGTGGGAAACGACTTCTCTAATGTCTCTCTAATAACACATTGTAGATCTAGTAGGCGTGCCTTGCATGGCAAGCATGAAAAATCACTGGGACTGACTATAGCTGTCAATTAAAGGTGTTAATGTATTTAGTCTTGGAGTGAATCTAATTTTTATTAGTCGAGGCAGAAGCCACTAAAACGCTGACTCAATATATATATTTATATCTTGTGAAAATCTTCTTTTAACTTAAATAGAGACTTAAGTTTCCTGGTTTTGTCTTAAATCATTAAATGACGTTAAACGCATGTAGACTAGATTTAATCTCAACTCTTTTGACAATGATTATCAAAGATGGTAGACAGTCTTAGCAAGGGCTTGAAGAATCGCTCAAAGAACTCGTCTTTCCAAACTAAAGTAAAGAAAACTTTATGCTTAGAAATACAGCTAAAAAATTAAAGAAATGTTTGTGAGAATAAGTTACAGTTGCTATGGCTTTTTTCAAATACATGATAATTTTTTTTACTCTTAAGATTTTAAGTTGAAATCGTGGTTTTGAATTCATTAATCTATCCAAAGCCATTGCACCTTAAAGGTGAGATCGCTTTTCACATGATGGTCAAAACAATTCTGTGAAATTATGATCAATTTGGCCATAATTGCTTCAGAGCCGTCAACGTGCTGGATCATGGTCTTGCTGTTATTTGTTTTTCTCCTATATTTTGTCACGTTTTTATTGAAGCTTAGGAGATAATTACATGTGTTCCCCGACTACTAGACTGAAAAAGGTATTCAGAGAGATGCTATTATTAATTTTTTTGTCTTGTCTTGTCTTGTCTTTGTCCCTTCCTTTCCTTTCCTTTCCTTTCCTTTCCTTCCTGTCTTTTTTTCGTGTTACTGAACTAATTAACAGCACATCTCGTTCTTTCTCACTACCATTCATCACAATAGCGTCTTTCAGGCTGTTTCTTGCGCCAAAAATATGATTGTTGTTGAGGCACTGTTATTTCTCTTGAATAATATTTGAAGTTTCTCATAATGTTTAATTAAGAAACGAGTACAGTAATCCCTATAATGTATAGCCAAATCCGATTAGGTCTGTAACCAGCAGACAGTATATTATTATATTCACATCGGTTTTTGATTTATTCATTAACTCATTTTCGTGGTTTAGATTCCAAGGAAGAGATCCCCAGCTTTGTCAAAATGTTAAGAAAAGCGGATCGGGATTATGGTACTAATCGAAAGAAATTAGATCAAATCAGATTGAATCAAATCAATAGGAATTAAGTTTGGCCTCCATACTTGAATCAGTAGATATATTGGCCGGATAAAGATAAGAGAGAATAGAAAAGGGCTGGGTCACAAATGAATAAAGTGGTAGAATTCGAAGGCAAATATAAATAAAAAGTTTGAGTTCGACTTTTTTCAAGTCCAATATCCTAAAACTCGCGTGTCCTGATTGGATGCTCAAATGGACGATATTTACTATCTCTGACCTTGTTCCAGTATCTTGGGATAACGGATTGTTAAACAAACACAACATTGCAATACATGATAAAAAGCCAGTGGGGAAAAAATATATTAATGAAAAATACAATGAAAATAAAAGGCGAAAAACCTTTGTCGTCAGCCTTGGAAAAGAAAGAAAGAAGGAAAGAAAGAAAGATAGAAAGATAGAAAGAAATATAAAAAAGAATCTACTTTTGTACTGCTGTTTCAAATGAGAATGACAGCACTCACTATCAAAACACAGCCAAATACAAGCCATCTTGCTACCAAACACTGACTGTACATGTTCATATTTTCTAAACTACCAATATACAGTAAGTAGTCAGTACTAATCCTCAACTGAATCCATCCAGCTCTACTAAAAATGATACAAAAAGTATTATCAACCCACTCTTTTCTAATCTTAAAAGATTTGGCTTTAACGATATGGGAATGGCAAGTAGTTCGTAATGGGAAAATATTTTTTTTCCGGTTGAAAATGTGGGATAAACTTTAATCTTATGTGAATAAAATGCCATCCTAATACATAATCAGATATTTCGGACACGTTCAAATGTGTACTATAAAAATATTTTGAAATTCCTTTATTGATGTGTTGAAATTGGACGCACTTGGAGTGGGGAAGGTGTGGGAGAATGTATCGTACATGCCAAGGCACGTCGATAAAAGGAAC